ATGTACTGTTTTATATGTAAAAGTTTGTTTTCCCCCCTTCCTTTGTATTGTGAGCCGCCCTGAGTCCCCCCAGGGAAAAGGGCGGCATACAAATAAACACACAACAAAAACAAACAACAAAAAGAGATGAGCAACATATGATAGAGCAAACTTCTATTTACCATTATCATAGCAACTTTATAATATCTCAGGAAGTTGGCATTCTTATCAGTAGGCCCTCTAAAAAGCAAACGTGACCTATGTCTAAGTGCTGTATGAATTTTTTTGCATATAAATTGAACCATTTAACTCTTCTAGGAAGCAAGTCAGCCCCTAATTTCCTGCAGGCAGCAAAGTATTAGAGAATGAAATCTCCATGATATTATTTTTTTTAAACTGCAAGGTAAATTTCTTAAACGGTATACCTATTTTTGTGTGCAGAATTTGGTGTACACTCAATTAAATCAGTCTATTTGCATTTCATTATAATTTCTGTAGCAATATATTATCCACTGCCAGCTTATTGGGCCTGGCACAGCTTCATCAGAGCTCTTTAGTCAGGCCGTTTCAGGATGACTTAGGATAACCTTCATGGCTGCAGTAACAGTCCTGTGGCACAAGACCATGTCATTCTTTTCTCACACCCAGTAATTCCTATTTTGTCCTGTTATCACTGCTCATGATGTGGACCCACAGAGTTGGGCTTTGTCGCATTAATAAACCAAAAGAAAGCATTTGATAGAGTTGATAGGAAATTGCTATGGCAAACATTGACCCAATATGGAATAAGTGAACATCTTATTAGCCTATGCAGAAAGGTATCTAGTGATTGCAGAAGTGCAGACAGATCAAACCAAAGAACATCAAAACTCTTCATGGTAACATCCAGAATAAAACAGAGTTGTGTACTATTACCATTCTTGCTTATCACCTACATTGATAGCAAAGCAAAGAAGCCTAAGAATAGTAATAATATCAACAAACTACTTTTTGTAGATGATTAGGCACTGATACAAGTACATCTCCCACAGGTGGCTGGCTATCATGCACCCGATCCTCCATGGTACTTTAGATGCTGGGGTGCTGATAGGCATCCTTCAGATAAGCTGTTCTATTCTATGTTCTCTCCTTCAGAAAGGCTGGTCTGTCGAAGAGTTGCCCCACAAATGATACACAATCACCCCTTTTTATAACTTCCTGCATGCAAACACTCATGCATTTCCTGATAATCCCCAGGACATTGTCTCACAGCCTGCTACCATTCCTTCCCTAAGACCCACAAAACTGAAGGTTAGTTTTGACTGTTATAGCCTACCCACACAAAGAGATCATGACACTCTCCATGGTGCTGCTCTCTTCTTGTTCATTGTCATCATCCTGTTGGGCTCTGCTGCATCTTTCATAAGGTAGCCTTTGAGGATGGGCTCTGGAGCTTCCTCACATCCCTTGGTTGCACATAATTCAGGACATCAGTAGCACAGGGATTCCTCTCTCCTTTTGCTTCTGCCTTCTGACTCTCCCTTCTGTGTAATAGCAGCCTCCTGCTTGTCAAGTTGCAACTCCTGCTAATCTGTTTGACACTCTACCCAGGAGTGCATTAATACCTTTGTACTAATCTGCATGGACACTTGTTTTAGGGATGTCCCCTTTGGATTTGCCCAGCTCTGGATCTTGGGGAAGGAGTGGGGCATGGATTTGAGCCAACCACAAGTCAACAGTGTACAGCTTACCTTTCTATGTGCTCCCCCTTTTCCCCAGCATTGCAGAACCTAGGGATGCAACTTGATGGTGCAGTCAGTCAGCTGGGGCACAGATGCTGGAGGAAGGTTGTACATGATCAACTTCCCTTTTCCACATTACAGTTTGTGTTGCCCTTCTTTGTTGGCTATATTGCCACTTTCTCCTACTTTCTGTACCTGTGTCAGAATATTTGCAGGGAACAGTTGTCTCAGGTACACATGGAAGGGTTATATCACCACTTTGAGAATGGGGCTTTAGGAGGACAGGGGCTGGAGATGTTTCCATATCACATTCATAGGTCTTGAGGATGTTTGTACCCAGGAGGTGTTAGGGATTTTGAACGTACTTACAGCCTCCAGAGCTCGCTAAGGAAACGCATCTACAGGTGCCATCTCCATTTGCCCTGGAGAGAAAAGAATGGAGGATGGGCTTCCTCTGTCCTCTTTAGCCAGAGTAATCGTTGTTGTGGATGAAGGGAGAATCTGAGCTTGCCGACTGACAATATTTGGGCTGTGAAACTCCCACACGGTGACAGATGTCAAGTCCAATTAAGCCACTCGCATCTCGTTGGCAATCCAATGGGATCGCCCATTGGGTAGCAACTTCGGAGGGAATCATGTCGCCTCCCCTTTGCCGGCCCTTTACTGTGCCTTTATATCCGGCCACTTCTCCAGGATAAGCCCAGCGGAACCAAACGGCAATCCAGCCGCCTCTCGCTGCAGGCCGCTCCCTGGGTTTTTCTATACCGCTGGCGTGGCCCGGCCCTCTGCTCGGACTCCTTCTGCTCTCGGGCTCCAAGGGCGTCGGGGGATGTTGCAGACCGCATCTTGAAGGACCAGGGGAAGCAATCTAGTCTGGGTGCCTTTTATCTCCCCCCCCCTAAAAAAAAAAGAGTCGGGACTGCAACGCAGGGCTGTTCCCAGGACCTGGATGCCGCCCGCTGAACCTGCGAGCCAAGAAGGTGTCCGCCGTTTGCACAAAAGCTTTGATTGCAACGGAGCAACGGAGCGATCTGACTCCGCCACGGCGATTGAGCCGCAGATCGGGCCCGAAGACTCCTGCCCGCGCGCCGCCGGCTGGAAGGGCCCGGAGCTTTCCTTCTCGAAGCGCCGCGACTCTTTTGTTATTTGCTGAGGTCCCGCAGGAGGAGGCGGAAGCGGCGGCCGCGGCTTTCCAGCATAATTTTATCAGCACAATTTTGCGCGATATACTGTAGATCTGCAGAGGTTTGTTTTTCCCCCACTCCCGGGGATCATGTTTTTCTAGTGCATTTTAATTTTTATAGGAATCCTTTGGTCTTTTGACAATTACTCCATTTCTCGACCTGCGAGTTTTGAAAAGGACTCCGAACTATTTCTACCAATAGGACATTTTACTTTTTACTTATTTTATTATATGCGGATCCCTTCTTCTTTTTCTTCCTCTCCTCCTCCTCTTCCTCCTCCTCCTCCTCTAATTTATGTCTAAGATGTTCTCCTCCTCGCATTTTATTTCAGGCGCAAAAGGGGTTAGAAGTGTTTAAAGGCAAGATTCTCCTACAAGGTAAACTCCTTTAAAATATTAATATGTACGGGTAAAATTGGCGGCATTCCATTCAACAAACAAGAAAATGTTTTGTTTTGAGATAGATATAAATACAGACCTTAATGGAATCCATATTCCGTTCTTTGGTCTCGCACCTAAAGCAAAGTTATTAGAAATTTATTCTGAAAACAGAAAACAGAAGATTTCTTCCAAGCTAAAAATCAGGCAAATTGGGTTTGCTTAGAACAATTTTCGCTGCAAATCTCCACTGACCAATATTTTAAATGTAAATATTTAAAAGCTGATCATTCAAATTAGTTTTCCTTATTTAAGTATTTAAGTATTTAAGTTCCCATTTTCGTTCAAGCTGGAATATTTTCCTTTCAAAGTTATCCACCGAAGAGGAATGTTGTTTTGATCTGGATTTTCACATTCCTGATTATTACTATGAACCTAAGCAGACGCTTCTTCAAAGGAAAAATAGATAGCAGTTTCAAAAAGGAGAAGTCTCCCCGTTCTCCTTCTCCTCGTAGCGCTTCTGAGGTTGGACAACCCAGCGTCTACAGGAAAAGCTCACTGGAGCTGGGAAATCCAGTAAATCTTTCGAGACTTTAAGTCCTTCTAGTCTATTGTTTGCCAAATAATACTTTCTATGTTTGATAGATTTTGTTTCTTCTCCCGCCCTGCTTTGTTTTCAGTAGGTTAAGTTTGCTCTTATTTCTTCCCCCTATTCACCACTTGCTGTTTAGCAGATTTAGAATGGTTTTATATGTATCCTTTGATGATGAAAAGACTTAAAGCAAAAATCTATATTTTCCACTTGGATTTTCGATAGAGATCTCTTGAAACGGTTTCTTGTCATCCATTTCCCTATCATTAGTATCGTCATCCTCATCCTCATCAACAACATTACTACCCCCCCCACCCTAACATCTCCCATGTAAGATCTCTGTTTCTAATTCCTTTCTTTTCTGTTTCTCCTCCTCGCTCTTGGTCAGAGGTCCTCTTTCCCCCCCCCGCCGCCCTTACTCCTCCCCTCCTCCAACCCAGACACATAAGGGTGTCTCCGAGGTGGCTATTCTGTCTGTCGCTGCTGCATTGTTTTGGGCTTTGCCAGCCGCCAAAGCGTCTAGGAAGTTCCCTGGCTTGGTTGTGCTGACAGATGGAGCCAGCATCGAGCTATAAATCCCCCAGCCCCGCCCCAACCTTGTTCTATGGGGGGACACTCTTGAGCCTCCGGACTATGGTGCAGCGGGCATTCAGCACCTTGGTCCCTGCCCACAGCCTGCCCGTGGAGCGGTCGCTGTGGTCGATGGATATCCCTAGGCGAGTCGGCTGCCAAGCAGGCGCGACTGAAGCTAAAGAGACATTTGCCCGAAAAGGAGGCGCACGGGGACTTGGGCAGCAACAGGCCTCTGTCCATTTCCAGAAGGTCTCCCATAGAGCTAAAACTAGAGGGGCTCCCGGTTCAGAAATTTTACCAAAAAAATTATCAGGATGGATGGGTTGTTGAGTAGCCCCCTACGGGCACTCTCAAATCTGTTACATCCTGTACAGTTCGGTCCCTGGCTGGACGCCCACTAGCCAACGAGCAGAGAGACAGGAAGAGCTGCTCCACACAGCCACATTCTGGAGACTGAGTCCTTGTTTTGTTGTCCGGTTGTTTTCACTTGCACCTCAGAATTTGCTTTCTGGGGTCCCAGGAAGGGTCCTTAGGTCCCACCTCAAATTTGGGCTCATGCTACTTGTGGAAGTGGCGCAAACAAGAACCAACCGGCAGCAGTTCTGACCTGTTCCTCCAAAACCAGATCAGAAAGAGCTCAAAGCTCTGCTGAGGATCTTTGTGGAAATAACTGATTTTTTGCTACACGGCCGGGTGCAGGAAAAATCTCCTAACCCAGACATGACTAGATCGAAGGGGAGGATGTGCTTTTGAATTTTCTCGCCGAGCAGTCAAGAAAAACAGAGGCAGTTTTCACAAGGGTCTCGCTGAAAAAAGCCCTCCGAGACAAGTCACTGCTGCTTATTTTCCAGGGAAAGCAATCAGGACTTCTAAAGGAAATCAGGACCTGAATGTTCAAAACACCTTCTGGGGTCCTTTTAGGAATGTCTAACATTGTGAACCGAGATGTAAGTGAAAAATAGTCATATAGATTACAACAGAAACAATACAGCGACCTACTGCCTTCTCAGATAAGGATAAAAGTTCATACAAAACACTTCAGTTAAGTTTTCCACTATATTTGCTCTCCAGTTGATCCAATCACTATTTAATGATCATTAGATCGTAATATCTTTATTGAGAACTTTTTTTTTAACGAAAAAGGTTTTTTTACGAAAAAGAACACCCCTTTTTAAACGAAAGCTAGGATGTTATGGCGTTCCGGGGGAGAGCTGATAGAGAACGGACAGGCGGCGGCCGTGGTTCGGTCGGGAGGCCGCTTCTACTTTTTGTAAGGCCTCCCTTAGTTAGCAGCCTCCCTCCCTGTCGCGCCACCCTACCCAAGGAAGGCAAACAGCCCCCTGTCCCCTTCAGCCTGGGCAGCGCAAGCGAGTCTCCTCGCGAGGCCTCCTAGCAGCAGCAGGAGGGCCCTTCGTCGTCCAATACCTTCAGCCCCGCCGGCTCGCAGGCGCGAAGTAAGCGGCAGGCACACGCGATCAACCCGGCTCAGGCTTCCGCCGGGAGCTTCTAACAACAGCTGCGCTACCTTGGCTAGAGTAGGAAGGCAAGGGCGGCGGGGAAGGCGGGCGGGCGGACGAAGGGCGCAAGCTGATGTGCTTGGCTCCCTTCCCGCCTATCACGAGCCGGGTGGGGGAGAACATTCAACAGCGGCACTGACTGAACTCCCGTCTTGATTTTTATGTTGTTATTACTTGCCTCCCCGCCTGGCAGATGATGCTGAGCCCAGACCAAGCAGTGGACTCGGACCACCCGTCGTCAGCGCCGTCCGACCCGGAGTCTCTGGAGGCCAAGGGGCTGCGGAGCTGCTGCGCCTCCGACTTAGAGACGCCAAACGGCGAGGGCGCAGGAGGAGGTCGCTCAGCGGCCCATCCGCCGCAGCCGCTGAGCCGTGAGGAGAAGCGGCGGCGCCGTCGAGCCACGGCCAAATATCGGTCGGCCCACGCCACGCGGGAGCGCATCCGCGTGGAGGCTTTCAATTTGGCCTTTGCCGAGCTGCGCAAACTGCTCCCCACGCTTCCCCCGGACAAGAAGCTCTCCAAGATTGAGATCCTACGTTTGGCCATCTGCTACATATCCTATCTCAACCATGTCCTAGACGTGTAGGGCAGGCGCCCGGGGACCAGGGCCCGCGGGGAAGGTCGACAGGCAAGATGGACAGGCTGCTGGGTCCCTCTGGAGCCGCCTCCGTTGGGGCTCGGCCTTGCAGGCGGCGCTCCTTCCCCAGGTCAAGTCCCCGGAGGCTCCCTTGTCTCTGAGGGATGGACGGTCTCGGCTTGCCCCTTCCTTCACCTTCCCTCCCCTCTCAAAATTTCCCCGCGATAGGGTCCCCTTTCAGCAAAGTTTCGAGACCCCGGCGGAAGCTTGGCTGGAAGTCCCTTGGCTTTAAGCTCGTGCCTTAAAGTGCTTTCCTGACTCACGCCCGAAAAGAGAAACTTGAAATGGAAATTTTCCCTCCGGGGGTTTGGATGGAGAGTTCACTTGTCCCCGGGCCGCCCAAAACAGGAGCACATCTTACGTGGAAGGTGGGGTTCTTTTCTAAACAAACCCAGTGATAATAGAGATTGTCAAGTGCCCCTTTCTTTGTATCCAAAAAAAATAAAGATCTCATTTACTTGTGACCTTAATGTATGATACAGGAGTGCAGTTAAAAATAATTTATTTTTTAATTTAAGTAGCAAAAGTGGACTATTTTCTCCCCAAGACAATTTTTTAGTTTTTGAGGGTGGTTAAGATTTTGTGTTGAAGACTTTGTGCCAACTGGTTTTCTATAGTCAAGTGTTTACATTTTCTTCTGTGGAATAAATGTCTGATTCTGGAAGTGTTCATTGGAAACCAGATTGTGGTTTTCATTTTGCTCTGGTTTTATTGCACCAATGCCCTCTTTTTAAACGTATTTTATATATTTGGACTTGTCCTTGATAACTTTATTTATTTTGTGTGTGTGGAATCAAAATACTAGCAGTTCACTTGAAGATTTTATTTTCAAATAGAAATTAAAATGTTTGTTGTTATTCTGATCTGTAATTCTGTCTAAAGATGTATTTTGGAAATAATCGATAAGGGAATAGTTTTGTTTGTCTGTCTTTGTGTGTGTGTGTGTGTGTGTGTATTACAAATTTTCTTTTCCATATTAAGGAAAAACAGGAGTACTTTCTTTTATGACAACCAAAAAATTTGCAAGCAGAAAATGTTATATGCTGTTTTGCTGTGAAACTCTTAAAAAGTATGTCTGGGTCACGGGAGTGAACATATCTGTTATCCAAAGATTTTAGTCTCTTTCAGGGTTTTTTTTGTATGTATGTGTGCGTGTGCACGTATGTATGTTGCTTTGTATAAGGCAATATTTTGTAGTGCAAATAGAGAAATTGATTTTTATCCGAACTTTTTTTCATATCTCTCATGAATGGTACACTGTTTTGCATATAAATAAAAGTATCCAATAAAGCTTATTTTCTTTTTTCCCGTTGTTAAGAGGAACCAAAAAGAAGACAATGAATCTATTACCGTACATCTGGAATTCAATCCAATATCACACAATACTTGATTGATGCTGAATACATAGATGATAGTGTGTGTTTGTGTGAGTGTGTGTGTGTGTGTTAGAGTTATACAATATACAAACATATTCCTCTTTTTCTTCTTCTATATTCCTTCATTTAAAAATTAGATTTCACTTTTATGGAAAGTATTTGCTGAAGGCTATTAATATCTTTTCAAACTAGAGAAAAATATGACCAGCATAAAGCAATGTTAGGTTAGATGGGACAGTTGGTCAATGGTCTGAAATCAACCTCTAAGGCAATACCACCAAACAGTGATGCTTGGTGCTGGTATGCTTTTGGTTCTAATTTTATCTCAAACACGAGTTCATTGCATCTTTTAAGTATCAAAGGCTGTTTCTCACTAATCACATATAGCATCACCTACCAGTAATCACCACTGAAGAGATATGAAACCTATTCTCATTGCTGTTATGTTGACACCATGGTTGGATGACTAAATGATGGCATAGTGGGGAAATACGTTGAGAGACTGTCCTCTCAATAACCTGAATTATATATGGGGATACTACTACTGTCATTTTACCTGACAATTATTAAAACAGGGAGCAGTAGAGAATTGCACAACAAACCATTGCTTTTAAAGAAGGAATAACATACAGTGAAAAGAGACAAGGAAAAGGCATGGGATGGGACACAGGGCTAATCCTCATGGCTGTGAGAATGTGGTTCCCTCCAGTCTTAGATATGGCAGAAAGATATGCAAGGATAAATAGCTCTGTCTCAATAATAGAGCATTATTTTGCCTTAGTTGTGGGCTGGTGAGTGGTGTTGTCCTTACACATTTAATGTGGGACAAATAAGAAAAGCATCTGGCAGATTGCCCCAGCTCCGTTTTCCTTTCCAACAGGTCTCACTTGCAGGCAGGAAAAAAGTGTGGTGTGAAGCAGGGTTGGGCAAGTGTAGGCAGATGCCTGGACAAACAGTTTAGCAATCTTCCAAAGTGTATGTAAAACAATGTGTCTGTCAGGTGCTCTATCTTTGCATATGAAGCAGCAATGGAATCCAAAGTGATAGATCATTGGAATGGAGCACCTCCATGATTCCAGGATGTTACCTGAATTAAATGGGGAAGCACATCTTGTTAATTTTTCTTCTATGGAAAGAAGTGAAATGGAAGAAGTGAACTCTGGAATTGTTGCAATGATTTATAAAGGATTACAAAGAACCAGAAGAAATTCAAGAAAAATATGTCAAGATGGAATGTATTGAGATTCTAAGTATAAAAGAATAATAGATTGATATGACACGGGTAATTGATGAAATTGATGTGACACTGGTATCCCACACTATTGTGCTACAAGGGATGTGCTCTGCCATGGTTGGCAGAGCCCAAGAGCTGCCTAAGGTGTAAGCAAAATGATATTGGAATAGGCAAGTAATGAAAATTAAAAAAAAAACAGGAAAAAATAGTGTCATGAAAAATTTCTTGTCAGCAAGCCAGTAAAAAAAAATACCCATGTAGTATTCATTATGGTAGAATTAGAAGCACACAGCTTGTAGAGCCTGGCTATTTCCCAGGCCTTCTGTGCAATACAGGACTAATATTAGTATTGTTTTCAAACACTGATCTAGCATGCTATCAAAAGAGCATCGCTCTACATACAATCGAAGGTTGTATGATACTTGATCAGCAAATGGCCTTGGAAAGCAATACCTGAAGATTGCAGGTGAGAAGGCATGCCCACAGCAGCTCAAGGTGCTCCATAGAAGCTGGATTAGTTCCAGTTTGTGACTGAACCAGAAATCCTATTTAATTACTTGGGCTAGATTGTGTCTGGAGGGAAAATTGTTTGGGAGAAGAGAAAAAAAACACTACTTTAAACCTGGAACTGCTAAGTTCAACTTCAAGCTCCCTCCACTATGGACTGCATTTGAGAAAGAAGCAATAGACATGTCATTTAAAGGTGGTTCAAAGATCATTTTCCTACCACAATTAGATGGAAGTGAAATTAAACCCACAGTCAATTTAAAATGTGAGGGACAGAAAGAGATGTTGTATAGAACTAATATCAAAAATGAGGAAAAGTAAAGCATAAATATTATAAAACAAAATATTGAAATACATTTCTTGAATTTATGATTAAGTAAGAGGAGAGCTTAAGGGAGATAAGGAAACCATCTTAAAATTAAACTAATAATAAATAGCTTGAAAATCATTATCAGTCATCTAAAAGATAAATCCAGCTTGAGGCTTGTTTGAAAGGTAAGATTATAATAGGAAACAAATTCTGGATTTTCTTTTGTTTTTTAGAATCATAGGACTAGGAAGGGACTTGGAGATTTTTTAGTTCAATCTCTTGTTCAAGGCAGGAGTGCTTATACCACCCCAGTCAAATGGTTGGCCAGCCTATTTTTGAACACTTCCAATGGTGGAGCATCCGCAACTTCAGGAGGCATGCTGCTCTGTTGATTGATTGTTCTCTCCTTTGGGTAAAGGAGGGTTGTTGTTTTTTGCTAACAGTATACAAATCCATTACACAATCACAACAGGGACATTTAAATTGACTTAAAGTGTTTTACTTACATTGGAGTAAAAGGAATTTCTCATAAGCAATTTTGGGTAATGAAAGAAAAAGTTGGAAAGCACTAATTTAATAGATTTGTGTACAAGGTTTAAATTCGATGACCTATAGAGGTCCTTCCAATTTTGTACTAAATATGCTTCATACAGTATAATGTCTGGTATGCTGAAATAGAAGTATTTGAATGGTGTTTAAATTAGAAACAAAACATTGAAAATAGAAAGATGGTTGACTGGAAGTGGTGTTATTAGCCAAAAGAAATTGCAAGATTGTGTTTTAATCCTCAGATCTTCATACAGCATGAGACAATAAATATTAAAACCGTAGACAAATATTTCTGAGCCTGTACTCCTTCAAAATTTCACAAATGCAAAATTGACAGCTCATATGCCAACTAGTTTGAAAGTGTGAGGTTCATTTTGCACTGGATATTGTAGCTGTACTTTTAAATTACGGGTGCAGCTCTCTTTATGTAAAAAAAGACTTATTTGATCAAATCAACAGTCCATTGTGCCTGAAGCTACTAACATTTTCTATTGGAGGCTTCTAGTAACTGGGAATCAGAGGTTCATTGTCTCTGCACATAGATGTTCAATTCAGCACTTCCATGCCATCCCTTTTGAACCAAGTTGCTCAGGGATTATTATACTGTGGAGAAAAGAACCTACAGGTAGTCCTTGATTTATGCCTGGTTGCTTAAATCAACTGTTCGAAGTTGCAGCAGACCCCCAAAATGGACACACAAATAACCGGACTTATGTGTGTAGAATTCAACTACTACTTATTGCTCCATGCCTGTTTCACAGGAATCTCTCCAGACTGCCAACTTTCACTGGGAAAGACTACATAAGGCTCCAAGTCATTCAAGGGGAGTCAGACCTTGTCCTCTTATGTTTATATAATGAGTTCAGACTAATTCCCTACTTGATCCCTCCTCCCACAGTCTGGGTCCTCATTTCACCCACCTCGGAAGGATGGAAGGCTGAGTCAACCTTGAGCCGGTGAGATTTGAACCACCGAACTGCAGATAACAAGTCAGTTGAAGTAGCCTGCAGTGCTGCATTTAACCACTGCGCCACCTCGGCTCATTTAAGCTGAAGTCCACAAGTCTTAAAGTTGCCCACTAGGGAGATCCCTGATCTTGCAGATGTTCTGT